AGAAGAAATATAGCTTTCTTTATAGAAACATACAGAAACAAAGCTTTTCATTCAACGGGCCTATACCCTAGTATGTTATTCCCAATCTGGAGCAAAACCTGATTATCTCTCTACTTTGAGAAATAAAAGAAAAGAGAATTCAATTATTACTTAATATGACTCTTCCCTCATTCCATATATTTGGGGAAAAAACATATCTATTTAATTTTTGGAAATTGAAAATTGTGAATAAAAGCCAATGACAGCAGCCAAAATAAGAAAGCTACACAGCATTTGCCAAGTTTTTGTTGCTAAAATTACTCTGATTAATAATTTCAAACCAAATCTAAAATGGATTTAAAATAGCATATTATTAAGAAAAACATTTATTTTGTAAAAAAAGACAAAAGTAGAAATGCTTGCAAAGCACCAAGGTTTAGAGGCTTAATTTGCATATTGTACATGGGTATCATTTTCTGCACTTTCTATTCCTTTTAATGAAGAAAAATAATCTATTTCCTGCATCACAAATTGTAGGATTTGTTCAAAGATTTGAATTGGTTACAAAAAGGCCAGGCAGATATTATCACATCTAAGTAACTAATTAGATTTAGAAATTAAGTTAACTTTTCATCTCTGCACCTCCTTTATTTCCCTTAATGTAGTCACCTACTTTTACACTATATTGAAATTCTAAATCAAACCCACCATTAAAGTGTAGGAGGATACAGATTGTTGGGAGCAATGTGCTAACTCTGTAAACCGCTTAGAGGGGGCTGTAAAGCACCGTGAAGTGGTATATAAGTCTAAATGCTATTTTCTCCCATGTTTTCATTGCAAATGTTATTGGTATGAATATGACATCAAAATGCATATCTTAAAAGGAGAACCAACAACCATGCAGAATGAAGAGCAGGTCACTAGACTGACTTTTCATAATTCCTCTCTAGATAAGGAGAGGACTTGATATAGATGGTCCTTGTGAGAAGACCATAAGACAGGAGTCTCCAGTGGGTTTAGAGCTCTGGGAGATAGCTATCTTGATCAGACCATGGTCAATGCCTTCAAACCATGATCAGTGCTTTCAAAAAGGACACTAGGTTCACATACTTCTTTTTCTGATCAAAATAACAGAGTTGCAAGGAACCTTGGAGGTCTTCTAATCCAACCCCCTATAGGAAATTAACCATTCTCTTCTTAAAAACTTCCAGTGTTTGGAGCAACCACAGCTTCTGGAGGCAAGTCATTCCATTGATTAATTGTTCTAACCATCAGGAAATTTCTTTTTATTTTTAAGTTGGCTCTCTCCTTGATTATTGTTTGTTAGCTGTTTGTCAGCTATTAGGAAACTTTGGATTGATTGATTTTACAGCACTGGGTCTGTTTCCTTCAATCTTTGGTGAAATAAGTTTTAAATACATATTTAAGGACTTAATGCTTTTAATAAGCAGCAAAAGGATGATTAAAACCTGGATTTTGAAAAGTTACAGATGAGTTAAAAGTCCAAATAAAGTTGAAATAAGATTTTGGAATGTTAAAAAATGCAATGTCGTACAAGTGGAAATTTATTGGACCCCAAACCCTGCACA